AGGAAGGAAGGAAGGAAGGAAGGAAGGAAGGAAGGAAGGAAGGAAGGAAGGAAGGAAGGAAGGAAGGAAGGAACCAACCAACCAACCAACCAACCAACCAACCAACCAACCAACCAACCAACCAACCACAGGTCAGGCACAGGACAACGTGTACCAACTATAATGGCAATTGCATGACTGAGGGCCTTTGCGAAGATCATAAACGGTCATAAATGAGCCATAAAATTATTTTTTCAGCACCATCGTGACTTCAAATGGTTGCTGAAGAAATTGTCAGTAAGTGAAGACTACCTGTATAGTGTAATGGATGGATAGGATCATGCTCCCTCAGACAGAGCTGGTCTGCAATGTTGGGTTCCTCCTGGACTTACTGCTCTTGCTTGAACAGCTACTGGGAGCCACGATCAAGAGAGCCGTTGCACATCTACATCTGGTACACCAGCTGCAGCCTGCCCTTTTGTGCACAATCACTTATGCCTGTGTCACATTGCAGCTGAATTATTGCAATTTGTTCTACATGAGACTACTCTTGAAGGCCACTGGGAGGCTTCAGGTACCGCAGCATACAAAAGCCTGAGTAGTTTGCTTATTTATTGGGATTTATATGCTATTCCAATCCAGAAAGACTCTGACTGGCATATATTTCTTTCTTTCAGTAAGAAGATTAAAATAAAATAGTATCACAAAAAGTTATTTAATACTAGCAAAGAAAATTACAAAGAAAATTATGACCACAAAGGAAGAATAAACATTCAGACATGACCAAAACTGGTGCTCCCAATTCATACTAGATCCCCTTCTAGGGCTCTTTTTAAAAGCCATGTTTTTAGTTTTCCTAAAGCTCAGCAGGGTGGGGCTAGTTTGATCTTGGGAGGTAAACGATTCCTTAGAAGAATTCTGTAAATGAGAAGGTTTGATTCTTTAGTCCCTGAAGATGACAGTACCAAAACAGAGGGTCTTGGGACTCTACCACTGCCACTCAGGGAGAACCACTGTAACACAGTGCCTTCCACTCCCATCCACCATACCCAGTGCAGAAGGATACCATGGTCAACGTTATTGAAAGTTGCTGAGAGGTTCAGCAGGTTCAGTAGGATTGTACTTTTCCTATACTAGGCCTGCCAAAGATCATTTAACATGGCAACTAATATGAATTTTGTTTCATACCTAGACCTGAATCCTGCTGGATAGGGATCCAGGTAATTTACCTAATTCAAGATTTTCTGTAGCTATATCTATTTATTTATATTTCAAATTTGTCACCACCCATCTCACCGTATCTCAACTACTCAACAACCTTCCCTAAAAAGGAAAGGTTAGAGACAGAATAGCCAAGTTGAGCAATAGCTTCTTGAGGAGGGCACATTTCCACCTCTTTCAAAATGGGATTAAATGCCTTAAAGATGTTTTATCTTCCAGATGCTGTGCAATTCTTTACAATGGCCCAGCAACCAATCCTTCAGCCTGGATTTCCCAACAGAGAACTGATAACTTCAAACGTACTGCGATGGCATAGATTTGAATTTGAACTCTTACTCATGTTCCAACACACTTATTTTTCTTACACCACCAGGACTCTAGGTATCTCATTTCCATTCAGATTTATTGGAAACAATAAAGAAATGGCTTGCCACTGCTTTCTTTCAAGACATTTTTCTGACATATCAGTCTAACCAGTCCTGGTGATCTCCCATTCAAGTACTCACCAGGTCTGATCCTGCTTAGCTTTTTGAGATCAACCAAAGAACTCTAATTCTACTTAATTTTTCCTCTAGACCAAGTGATTGGGAGAGAACTAGCAGCCACCAAGAGGTAAAATTAATTAAAAGCTTTTTTTTAAGTAACTGGAAGAGTAAGATTTGACCTATGCTTAAACTGTTACTGTTAGAAGATACATACACGACGAATTACAAATGGGGGTTTGTCTGTTTCTTTCCTGAAATCAAAAGGCCCTAGGTCTAAGTGAGCCAGGCGCTGTCTGACTTGCAGAAGCTCGCACATTCGCCTTTTTGTATAAGGAGAAGGGGATCGAGAAAGAGATGCTATTGTGGGTTGCTCATAACTCTTCGTTGCTGAACAAGGCCTGTTTCTCTCAGGTGAGGCTGTGTTCTTCTTTGAAGATCTGATCTGTCGCATTCCTTCTGTAGATGAATGAAACAGCCCATCTAAATTATCCTGAATTAAAGGAAGAAATTATTAAGACTAAAAAGCTTCAAAGTATTTGCTCTCACTACTGAACATATCACAGCCAATAATTATCTTGCCTGATATCTCCATAATTAATGGATAACTCTGAGTTCACATATTTTCCCCTAAATTTAAAGCTCAAACAATCCTTCTCAATCTATTAAAAAAAAAAAAAGGGGGGGAGAGACAAGGAAAAAAAGCCAAGGGGCAATAATTTTGTTAGGCTGACATTTTTTTCTAACCATATTGCCTGATGAAGAGTTCTTGGAAACTTGACAGTTTTTAACTGTTTTGTAAAACTTCAACCAGCTTGATAAGTTATTATCTTAGCTCCTGAATGAAAGGCAGCATATAAATCTAACAAACATTTTTTCCCTGTATGTTGCCTACTATCTAACACCACTGTCTCAGCTGCCCTACGTGTATAGTATAATGACCCATAAGTTGTAACATCCATTTTCCATGGTCTGAAAGAACAGCAAATTTACCTCAAGTAGCTGAAAAATGAATAGTAAAAAGCCGAAGTTATTTTTTTCTACCACCAGTACTTATTGATTACACCCAGAATTACACAGAGTGAAGGGAACATTTATCACAGGAATAACATTTCATCTTGCTTACATCAGTACAGTAAAATTATGCAGTTGATTGTCTAACACCTTTTAACTATTTTAACTGTTTTAATAAGCATGCAAGATTTTACTCAGCAATCTTTCACTTTCAAACAATCTTTTCAATTCAAACAACCTTTTGATTAAGAATGAAATTTACAGGAAGCTTCATAAGAGGTGTTTCAACAAAACAAACCACCTAAAAATAACACTTTGTTATATTTATAATATTAAATCTAGAAATTGTTTGCCATTTAAATTATACTAACCTGCTTCTGAGCTTTTGCTGAACTTAACAGGCTTTCCGAAATAACACAAGTTGTGTAAAACTTCAATTTTGGTGCAATTCCCTAGGAGAGAGACAATAATAGAACATCAAGCTCCAACTGAATAGATAAATGATAACAAAGAAGTAAATGTCATATACTGTAACAAACTATTCCTAATTTTAATAATTTCCTTTGTTAATTTCAGCCTGTAATAAAAATAATTAGAACAGACAGAACAGCAATGGTAAATGTCAAGAAGATAACATTTACATTGCTGACAATTCAATTACTTGTGATTATATTGCTTTTCTACAACAATTACAGTCTGACGTTTATTTCAACGTGTTGCTTTGTCAAAAGCATTTCTCAGGAATGTTCATGGCATATTACATAGTACTAATTAAAAGCCAAGCCATTCTGTTCAGCCTTCATTTACATCACTTCTAAACTTCTTGAGTTATATACTAGAGAAACTGGGATATCTTTTCTGTCAAATAATTTACAATTTTTTCCATATTTATATTCCGCATATTAGTCCTGGTCAAAAGACATTGCTTACAACATTCTTCCCACCTTCCTAAAGCAAACAACCAACCCCTCAGTAGAATGGCATGCAGTAAGAGGTGTTGCACTTCCCTTCCTGAACTTGGGCACAGTATCTTTACTCAGAGCTTATTTAAGTAAGGAGTAAAATTTTAGGTTTCATACAAAGTAGAGTCCAATAAAGTACAAATCAAAACATTTCTGATCCATGAACATCAGCAGATAGGTAATATTAGAAAATATGTATATGAAGGAAAGTCTTGTCTTCCTGATCTATACCTAATCATATGGCTTATTCATCAAGCCCACTATTATTTACTCTGAACAGCACCAGATTTCTGGGGTCTTAAGAGAATTATTTTATCTTGTTAATGATCCTTTTGACCAGAGATGCTAGGTTTTGAATTTCAGATTTTTCAATGGAAAAACCATATCTGGTTATAAGCTATGATACATCTCTTTGCTCTTTACAGTGTGTGACAGTAAAAACAAAGGAGAAATACAGATGCAAAAGTACATCCCCAACTCACTGATTTAGCAACACATACCAAATTAATTTCCTGTGAGCAAGCAGAAGGAAGTTTATTCTCAATGAGAAAAAAAAAAACAGTTTTCCAACAGAGAACAGGAAAAATAAATCATATCTTAGCCTGCTAGGCCATAATGGTTTGCATTTCCAATTTTCAAGATGTTCTTTGACTTCCCTTTTCTACAACTCTGAGATTCCCTGATAATCTCCCATCCAAGCACTGTCTAGGATTGACCCTGATAAGCTTGAGTTCAGACAAGTTACATTATGAATAAATAATAATTAAAAAATTGTTCTAAATTATTAATTACTAAGTAATCAGTCAAATAAAACCCAAATATAGCTCAACAGTTGTTTATATGATTTTTGTGTTCTTGTAACATATTATATGAATGTGTACTTACTGTAAAACCATAGGCCTTTTTCATTAAAACCTCACGAACTGAACTTTGTTGTTGATGGATAAACTTAGGAGCAGGAAAAAGGAAATCTCTTGTATTTTCTTCATATCTGGCTAGAATTTCTCCCACTGAAAGTAAGTTATATATTTTAATTGAAAAGCAGTAACTACACATTCATACATACATACACACGTAGAGAGATGCAAGCATGGAAGCGTACATAAAGAGACCATGATACAACAAAGCTAAGAATTTTTAGATTCCCTTGATCTTAATAAAACATACATATAGAATCTTGTCCTTGCCTGCTAATGCCACAGAGTAATATCCATTAGATCAGAAAAGCCTATAATAGTACTAATCCAATATGGGAACCAAAAAACTATCTTAAGAAATTTGTTATGCTGATATCCAAAGCTAATAATAAATATAGCTTTCTTTTGTGGAAGTGAAATATTAAACATATTATTTTGATCTTGGAATTCACCAACAATAAAACTTTCTAATCTAGAAATTAATGAAAATTAGGGTTGATTCGTAAAAATTATGGCTTTTTGAAATGCAATATGTGTCTTTAAATAAATAAATATTTGTTTGCATAACCATACATTTTTTCCTAACTAATGATTCCTTCCTAAGAAGGAAAACAAAATTATTGACAAGAGCTAACATTATCAACCCAAATCTGAAGTTCAACAGTTTTGTATATATGTTTGTGCATCAACTCAGAAAATCCTACTTGAAAATTATGGATCCAAATTTTTGTACAACAGGAAATCTGGAAGGACTGTAAAGGGGTTTCCGGTTTTTTTCTTTTTTTAAAATAATTGCTTAATTCTTTTAAGGAGCCAAGATAATCAGAAAGAAAAGAACAGAAGGTAGTATTGCTATTGCCCAGTTTCTACTGATACCATGAAGGGCTCTGATGGTCAAAGAACTTTAGCAGGTATTCCAAGAACATAAAAAATTTTCAATGGGAAAAAATATTTTGAATGATACTCAAGCTTGGACTGAAAGGAAAATGCTTAGTGGGGTTTTTGTTTGTTACTATTTCTACTCCATTTCACTAACTGGAAGTCAAAACTGAATAACTGCAGAACCAATTATCTTAATACTGCAAAGACAAAAATTGGTTATAACTACTGACCACTACACTTTGATCAGCATTTCTTCTTAGGCCCTACATTCAAATATGTTGTTCACATATAAACTTTGTACATATATCTGAAAAAATGCAGGATACTGATCGCAATACATACATAGATTCTGCACTAAAGAATCAACACATGACATTTTGGGAAGCTGGGGGAATATTATGTATAGCTGGTATCTATCAATGGACAAAAGTCTTACCCTAAAAAACATTTTCTGAAGAACTATATTCTTTGGAATAAATTAATTATCCACAGAAATTTACCTTAGAACTGTGCTGATTTATGAAGATATTGATACTATACCTGGCGGGACAGTTTGTATTAATTCAAGCACTGATGCATCAGCTAGAAAAAGGGGGAAATTATAATCAGAAATAATTTTGATAACAAATTTTAAAAAACAATTAGAATATCTCTAACTTGAACAAAAACAATTTGTACAATTTTACTGCATTTGTTATTAGCATGGGCAGCTATTAGTTTCTGGAAAAAAGAGAGATGGCACAGTTTAGCTTCTAACCATCAAGATTCCCGTAAATTGGATTTACTGACCAGAAAATGAATCAGATAATCTAAATGCCAGTTTACTGTTACTCTTGAAGTAAAATCCTTTAGTTTTTTACCAGGAGGATTGTTAAGAGGAATATTCTTTGTCCAATTGTTGGTTTTTCTACCCCACATTAGGTAGAGATGAAGAAAACCCAAAGTATGTATTTTCCAGTAACCTATGAAATAATATTGAAAGCTGCAGGTATCAGGCTAGGTTAGAAACTGGAAACACAACTGATATTTGATCTATGGAACAGAGTCCTCTCTCTCTTTATTACAAAATAGGCCCCTGTCTTGTTAAGACTAAAGTATGAGACAATGCAGAATCATAATTCCCTTGAAGTTGGAGAATGTTCAGTGCTGAGTGGACCTCAAGCATTTTGATCAGTAGGTAGATGTATACCATATTCTAAATAATAATATACCTTTTTTCAGCACTATTCAGTAAGAACATGTAACTAATTTCTGAGTTTAGCTGCTTTTAATACATAAATCTGGCAGATGTCAGGTGGTGGATGAATGCTTTTGCTTTCAAACTTTTATTTTCAACTCAAACCAGGTCTAATAATCTCTTATTTACTTTGACTGTAGTCTTGCACACCACTATCTGGAAACTTAGTGGAACTTACTTCTGAGGGAGTAGGATGCATAGCTAAGTATTTAATTAGTATATCTGTACCCAGTATTTTGGTCATAAGGGAACTCAAGGCAATTTACATGGAATCTGCAGAAAGTCTTTTATTTTAACACTAACCAGATTCAGACCTATTTAGGTTCAAACAGGTTGGCTATTTTATATGCCCTTAGTTGAAAAACAAACTGATGAGCACCTTAACAAATGAAAAATAATGAACCTGAATGTATTATAATTGACACTCTGTCTTAAATCTTATTCTCTTTTCAATCATCCTTTTTGTACCCTATAATAGTTAATACTGTGGAAATGGGAAGGGGGCCTATGACAAACCTCTAAAAATATGTATGCTTCAGTTATTTAAAAGTAGCAGATGCTCCTAGAAAATATTCCAAATAGTTCTACATATAGTCATCTAAAACATCAATGAGGTGTTCCAATGAAAACAAACATTTTTCTTATTTTTTTAATAGCTTAATTTGAATTTCAATTATTTTAGAGAAAATTTCTAGTGCATTAGATACTATGATTGAGCATCTTCTGAAATCTCCAATTGGTTTTTGATGTTGTATATTTTAAAATAATTTGTACATGGAATAAAAAGTAATCAAAAAACAAAAATCCAAAAACCTACTTTCAAAAAGTTCAACAAGATCTCCTGGGTCAACTACATCAGTATATACCTAAAATGAAAGTTTTAGAAAATGAAATGGAACAATTCTGCTAAAACAATCCTGAGGACATTGACAAACATGATCACTATAATAATCTAGAGTAGCAAGATGAAAGTTCTTTCAGGGAATAAAACAATCAAACAACATCATCAACCTCTCACTGCAACAGAATCCTCTTTCTAAGAAACAGCTGTTTTCTCTGTTGACTTCTGATCTGTTTTGGTATTGTTTTTGGGTCTTAAATTAAAAATTATCATAAATAATAGGTGCAAGTCTCATACTTTCAACATGGAAAAAAAACCCCTCCTTGTTAGAAAGTGAGTAATTTTATTTCACTCTAGTAAAGGAAGGAACATCACTTATGTTTATTCAGTCAGAGAGTTAAGAGTGCATTCAATACAAGTCTACTCAGAAGTAAGTCCTGCTAAGTTCAAGAATATGTACTTCCAGGCCAACATAACCAACTGGGAATTAGTCCCAATAAATTGAGTATGACTTGTTCAGTGGAGACATGTTTAAGATTCGATAATTAAAGTTTGATCTTATGTAGTATGAACCCAGAAAGCAAGGCAGGAAGGTCTGTTAAGACCATGGTGTGGTTATGATGTCAGGATTTGCAATTCTGTGCCTGTGCTGAAAAAGTGAAGGGATACTTTATTTACTACAGTGTCATCATCAAATGAAGCAGCACACTGAATCAATTAATACACTAACAAAGGATGGAATATGCAAGTTTGAAAAAAAATGTAAGTTTTTTAGAACTATCTTGAAATAACTTGCACTTTAAAATGCACAGTTTTGATCCAAACACAAGCACTAAGTTCCCATGTGGATGAGTTTCCCTGCTGACTGATACTGAAGACATCCATTTATGCATAATAGCTATAGCTACACAGATTTACCATGTTGATGATAATTCTTATGCAGACAAAAATATGCTTTGCAATGTAAAGAACCACGAATCAAGACTGTCAGAAAAATACCGTTACTTAGTAAATATAAAGAATAATGTACAGAGTGTCTATAAAGCCATATCTGTAAAGATTGCTATGTGTATCTTCACAGAATTTTCCTCTCGTTTTTTAGCAGTTCTTTCCAATAGTTCACATACTATAGTTCACTCATACCATTCAGGGACTAAACTGTCCTATTAACCAAGTGACTGTAAAGATGAATTGATATTTCTATAAATAGAATATATGTAATCAGTATCTATGTTCTTCAACAATTCACAGTCAGCATTTCTTCCATAAACAATACCCTGAGCTATTAAAAAACAAAAATACCTTGAAAATAAAAAAATACAAGCAAAACCTATAATACTTATATAAATATTTAATACTTGCATAAGCATTAATTCAAAAATAAACTAATGTGCTTAAGTCAGCTGAAAATGAAATATTAGAGAAATATGTCTAAGAATGTGTTGAAGAAACTGCTGGAAGATTAATTATATTTTAAATGTTAGTCATGATATTATAAGTACCTACTTTTTCAAACATTAATTTCTCATCAAATATCAGGGGAAATATTGCACGAACACATGAAGTTTTCTTATGCTGTCCAAAAATACAGGCACTGATGTAGACATCATCTCTGGATTTCAGTGCAACACCTGGGCATGTTACCTAAAAGAGCAATTATCCATAATAGTTAACTACAACTAATGTTAACAGCATAACATTTAAAGCCCTGCAGTCCACTTCATGAAATGCACAGTAAATATAGTGAGCATTAGGAAAGCAATAGTGATGACAATACAAACATCCTGGGTACCTGTAAACTGACACAGTGTGTTAAACACATGTAACTACAATCCAAGCCTCAGGAAATTGAACTTTTTAATAAATTGCAATTGGTTTTATGCAGTCTATGGCATCATCCTTTAAGCATTCCTTGCTCAAGAATAGCTACTTTAAAGTCAAAGGCAATAGTATGGGGGAAGCTGAAATCTCCCACTGTTTGCAGAATACTGCTATTTCTGATATCAGACTTGTGTTCATTTATTCTTTTGGGCCAAAACTGGTCTGCTTGTACTATTGTTTTCAAATGACAGTATATATCTTAGTAGAAGGTGAGTGGATGAATAAATGCTTGATATCATGGGTAACATTAACAACCTTGTAACACTAATTTCCAGAGTAAATGTGGGAAGTCAGTATCTGGACATCTTGTAGAAGCTGATAGCTATATTATATTCTTTATATGTGTCTTGCTGTTTCTAGGAGTAACTCAGGGGGCGGAGGGGTTGTTTGTTACCAAGGATAGATTTGCTACCTAAGAACTAAGAAATGAAAAGATCATTCTCCCAAGATCATTGATAATACTATTGGATGGTTTTAGATGAAAACAATCATGTCTATTAGAATAACAAATAAGAAATGCTAAGAATTCTATTGGAAAATTGCTATTAAGATGTTTGGTCTAAATGTTAAAAAAAAAAAACCAACAACTGGAAAATATGGTAAAATAAACAAACTTTGGAAGCAATAAAAATTGTCATTATAGTACTTGGAAATAATAAAGAGACAAAGACAGCTTTGCAAATCTTCTTGGGTTCTTCATGCAAGAACTTGGGTTTAAAAAAAACCAAGTGCAGATTTTTTTTAATAGCTATATTCTGGATAAAAAAATGATAAGAATATTTTATGATATTATATTAGGAAGATCTAAATAAGATAGTTCACGTAAGTGATACACAGGTAGTCCTCGTTTAGCAACCACAATTGGGACCGGCAACTTGGTCATTAAGAGAAGCGGTCAGTAAGTGCTTACAAACTTACTTCAGCTTTCCTTTGCTTTACAGACATACAAAAGTCACAAATGTGAGGACTGGTTATAAAGTTACTTTTTCATTTCTGTTGTAACTACAAACGGTCACTAAATGAGTCAGTCACTAAATGAGGACTACCTGTACATCAAAACCAGATGTACTAGATGGAAGAATTATAAGAAAGGGGTAATTTGTTATCTAAGAATAGTTGAAGATGGCATAAAACCTAAATATCCCATAATTGTTAAATTCATGTTTAATTAAAATAAGATTGAAGTAAGAGTTTTTGCAATACACAGCAAGGAGCTCACAAAGTTATAGATTGCACATGAAGTCAAATCTATATACTGCACTGAGCAAGGGTGCAAAAAAAAAAAATCCTTGAGATACATGTGGACTTCCAAAACCCCTTCTTTAGCCATAGGATGGACAAGATGAAAAAGAATAGTCCTCTCTAGCACTGGGAAATGTGATTGAGGGATATTTAGAAGCAAAATGGTTCTCTCAAGCCATGCAGAGGCTTAGAACCCCCATTAAAACCCTGAATCCATTCCCCAAAAGCCTGGTCCCAGTTCACTCACAATGATTAAATAACATAAGTGTTGCACTATGACACAAGCTCCGTGATGATAGAATGTCATGATGTTGAACACAAGTATGAAATGAAAAAAGCTTACATCACAATGCACAACACAGCTCTCATCATTTTTATGAAAGCTGTGGATCTTGCAGATGCAGAAATCCACCCACTTTTGGAGCCTGATTCTTTGTGTACTGTATTAAATTTGGTGTGACCCTTAAGATGAAAGAAGCTATGCAGCACTGCTTTAATCTATGGTTTGTTTCTTGAATAAGCCAGCCCACTATGTCAAACCAAACAAATCACATTATGGCTTACTTACCCATCCATCCTGGGAGAAACGATGGGTGCTTCCCCACTTTTGTAAAAGAAGGGGAGCTGAGACCTGGAGACATTGTTTTTCTGTAATGGCATCTGTGTTTTGAAATAGCTCCCACTTGAAGCTAGATTAACCCCCCTCCTTGGTAGTCTTCTGGAAATGCTGAAGATGGGAATTAAGTTGGGATTATCTATCAAAGATTATTACTTAGGTTTATTGTTTGTTGCTCTGCTTGAAATGGAATTATATTGTTTTAATATGGCATATGCTTACATTACCATAAACATTCCAATTTCTGAAAGTATGATTTACCGTTATGTGTCACTGTTATGTGTTGTAAACCACTGAGAGATCTTGACAGTTATGAAGGTATGCAATAAAAAAAAAGAAAAAGAAACACTACAATTTGTGAACCACGAAATCTCTAATATTTGCAGATTATTTTGTGTATCAGTTTAGCCTTCTGACCTATTAGAGGGACAGACAGACATTGTAGCATAAAAAAACTTTTACCAAAAAGAAAATAAGTACCCCCACCTTACCAAAGAGGAGAGAAACCAATCATAGTACCAATTTCAGGAACAGCAGTGGTTAAGTCACTGAAGTTAGTATGTACTGATTTTATAATTCAAACCAGGTGCAAATATAAACCATCAGGACAGTGTTCCTCAAAGTGTGGTCTGAGGACCCCCAGGGGTCCCCAAGATCCTCTCAGGGGTCTGGGAAATCAAAATTATTTTCCAGCCTATGTTGAAAAATAATACAATATTAAAATCCCATCAAACAATTGTGAGAAGCAGTAGTGGCAGCAAATGCGCCAATTTTAATTTTTAATACAGTAAATATTGATAAATATAACTCATACAAACAAAAGCTCTTTTGGGGTTCTCCATAATTTTTAAAAGTAGGGTCGGGAGAGGAAAATGTTTAAGAAACACTACATTAGGAGGATATGATTTCTAAGCCATATCTGGGCAGCATAAAAGAAGAACAATTAGGTCAAAAATCAACATTAAAATAAAACAATGAACAACTTTTTAAAAAACTGCAAAGGTAGAAAATGTTTAGTCATTCTGGAATGATTTTATGAGGAAACACTGCTTTTTAGTGTTTTATTTTGTGCACCTGAATTGCAACAAGATTCAAGAACTGATCTATAATATACACTTGTAGAATTCAATGGCTTTCAAATGTACGCTTGAATCTTTCATGCTTGGTCCTTCCTACCCAGCCCCCTGCCCTGTACCTTCAAGTCATTGTTGATTCCTAACAGCTGCCTGGACTAGTCCCTGCAGTTTTCTTGACAAGGTTTCAGAAGTGGCTTGTCACTGCCATCTTCCTAGGGCTGAGAGAAAATGACTGGCCCCAGGTCACCTAGCTGGCTTTGTGCCTAAGGCAGAACTAGAACTCACAATCTTCCAGTTTCCAGCCTGGTGCCTTAACCACTACACCAAACTGGGTCTCTTGGTCCTTCCATGTAATCTTAATTCTAGCTGATTACATGAAAATTGTTATTTTAGGAAAATAAAATATTTCATCTTTCATATGTGTGCTGGTGTTACATCAAGCAACAGTATCTATTTGATTATGTCTGTGCATGGAAGCTAAACAGGATAGGCTTGGTTAGAATTTGGATTGAAACATTCAGGAAATCCGAAGGCTGTAGGCTAAGCTGGGAAATTGAAAAAACTTCCTGGACAAAGGCAACGGCATCACTTCTGTAATATGCCAAGAAAACCACATGGATATATCCATGCAGTCAGCAGAAGCTGAGCTAGATTCAAAAGAGATTTTACTCCCCCCTCACCCCCAAATATGGATACATTTAAGAAACAGAAATCTTTCTCCTTTAGAAAGTGATAATGCACTCAGTGGAGGTATGAGAATCTGATTTGATATAGTGAAGGCAAAGAATGCTACAACCTACTAAACTGAATAGTATTGTGTTTCATGTGAAGATTAAAAAAATAGATACTGTAACAAGTAACTTATAGTGAAATCATAGTCCAGTGTAGATATAATGGGTTAAATGAATACAGGATTCATTGCAATATACACTACATACAGGATTCTCCTTCTCATCCTGAAACTCATAAAAGAGAAGAGAAATACAGGCTTTCAAACATAGAAATGAAAATACTTCTAAGTATTTGAACAGCACTGAATTTAACCAACTGACATTCTTCATAAGGAGGGATATAGAGTGCAAAGAAGGCAAACAACTGTGTTTTAAGACTGTAACTGGCCAGGAACAAGAAAGATGCCCGGATACAGTCTAACTGTTAGTTCACCACTGAGGAAAGGGGAACTGAAAACAGAGAGCCGATTTTCTAAATGCAGCTACATACTAACAGGGATGCCAGATCTGGGCTGTAAAAACCCAGGTGTCCCCTGAATGGCTAGTGGGCATCCTGATTTTTGCAGATACTCTATGGAGAATCATGAGGTTAAGAGCATCATTCTCTCTGGAAGAATCCTCAGCTGCTGAGTGCCGGGGGAGAGAGAGTAAAAACAGGCACTCCCGGGATCTGCCCACTACGAAGCCGCCACCTCCTCCACCGGCCTTCAGATGAAAGCGCTGCTCTTGAAAGAGGGGCGAAGCCTCGGGTCGGCGTCTCCGCAACAAGAACGGCAACCCTCCAGCCTTCCCCACATCGCCTCGTCGAGCTCCCCGCTTTCTCGAAGTTCCCCCCAACCCCGCTCACCAGGCCCCGACACAAAAACGCCCGTAGAGATATAGCGCCTCTCAACAGCGAGCAGGGCCCTCCAAGGCGCCTTTAGGAGCTCCGCCCCGGCCCCCCAGGCCTCCTCACCGTGCGGATATGCAGCTCCAGAACGCAAACGAAACCTTTGCAGGGCGCCATAGGGCTCCTTTTGTCACTCAGCCGCCAGAAGAGCAGGGCAGGCTGAAGAGAGACGGGGGCGGGCGGGACCCTGTTCCGGCCCTTCACAGTACACGTTGCCCGTCTAGGCCCGGAGCGCGCCCGACAGCCTCTGTTTCCATAGCGCCGGAACGCTAATGGGGCCCCTGAGGGTAGGAGCGAGAAGGCGTGGCTAACGTATCCACGGCGGGTTGGGAGGGCAAAGAAAGCTGAAGAGGACCAAGCTGCCGTCACTTCCGGTTCCAATAGCGGGCGTTATCATCCCCTATTGACCGGATAAGAATAGGAAAACTTTTCTGTTTGTATGTTTTCAATTTGGCAGATGAGGAAGGAGGAGGAGAACAAGGATCTTCTCGTTTTGTTATACTGGACGAAATGTAAATTTCTAAGATTGTCCAAAATTATAAAAGAAGGTCTTATCTGGTTACCGTTCCTGTGATTCCCCTTAAAATAAGTGGGCTTTTTTTAATGTCAGCCTTCTAATTAATTAATAGAGCAATCCATGGAAAGGTTTTAACTTACAACTGATGCTTAATACTGATACCATTTTAAGATATTAAGTGATGGAATGCTGTAGTGCATTTTACAAAGTAGAAGTCAATGTTGTCAGAAGAAGAGGCTATCGTTAACACTTTTTCCCACCTTATCTTTTAATTATCAGAGCAGACCGTAAATGTCCTCAAAGATAAACACATGGATTGCTTTCATTTAGAAAACAAACTCTGCTGAATATAGTTGAAACTAAACTAACTAGAATCCAGTTAAATGCCAGGGTGTAGTTGGAAACCTTACCTTTATTCCTTTAAATCCAGGTGAAATATACTTAATCATTATGTTGAAGTTTCAGTGCATACAACATGTTGGGATCATCTAATTTCCTTTTTTTCTAGAGCATTATAGTAGGCCAGGGACACTGACAAAAATAGTTGGCACCAAGAAATAGAACTAGATGTTTGGCATCAAGAAATAGAACTAGTTTCTTTTTGGCTAGTGAATGGGGTCAACATGACACATGGGAAACCCCTTAAACCCCTGGCCCTCAAAGTTCCTGGAAGCCCACATGAGAAGTAGTGGAGATGGAGGTAGGACTTAATTGTGGATGAGGTGCCTGATCTGGTGTATATAACCAACACCTGAGTAGGACTGGGGGGAAGAAGGTCTTGGAGATGTACCTACCCAAACTTTAGGTTTGGCATCAGCCTAGAATTCAGTGGAGGGAGTGGCTATTTTCACCCATAAGTCATTGAGTGCTCTCAGAGGTGCTGTGCCACAAATACCTGGATATCAGACACTTTGTTAGCTTTTAGGGAACAGTTAGGATTGTTCCTATAGTACTGCCCTCCTGCTGCACAACATCCTCCCTGCCTGACCTGCTTGATTCCAGTGCCAGGTTGACATGGAACATGGACTAACATCCTCAGCGATTTCAACTTGCCACCAGATGATGTTGTATCCAGGCAGCTCAGGAGTTTATGGCCACTATGGCAACTATGGACCTGTCCCAAGTTATCAGAGGCCTGATGTATACTAGTGGTTATACTTAAATCTGGGTCAAGGTTACCTGGTCCTTGATGGGGAGAGACAAGTCACAGGAACATCTACAGAGCCACTGTGAAAAATACTTTAGCTTTCTGGCAGATAAAGTAGTTCAAATCCACTCAGAATTGGATTCTGATTGGACTAGTCCAGTGGAGGTACCTGGGGGACAATCGTGAAGGGTAACTGTGACTCCGGATGAAGTGAACAGGGTCCTACAAACTCTGAGCTCAACCAGTTTTGCTGGGAGCTCAGTAGCAGCTAGAAGAGGAACAAGCACACTGAAGCAGCACCTTATCTCAACTATTGTAGGAATATAAGGAAAAGTCTTAAAAGTTGTATTCCATTTTACAGACTTTACAGACTTTACATATTTATACAGTCTTTATGCATTTTATAGACTTTTGCTTGAACTAAGTATTAAAGGACTGTGTATCACCTTGCAAGTCCTAGATGGGTGAAAAGCAGTAGCCTGTGGTTGGGGGAAGGTGTGTGCTGCAATAAAGCATTTTGTACAGGTTTGCTATGCTGTGGTGTTTCCAGCCCTTTGAAAGCAAAGAACCCTCACATGAACAATGCAGATTAAAGTGGAATGATTATGTCCTGTGATTTGGAAGGTGTACTTTTGTAGATGCAGTCTGAAATTACATGTGTCTTTTTTACAGCCAAATCACACTACTGTACTGAGTTATATATAGTCTACGATCAAGTACTATTCTCAAATCTTTTTCCGAAGCATTATTATTAAGTCAGGTCTTGTGTATTAGTTCTATGCTCAGTGATACTTACTTGAGTACTGATAGCTCACTACATCAAATGTTTAATATGACATATTAAAAAAAAAATATGGATACCCATTTTAATTAGATGACATGGCGGAGAGTAACATTATTTCAATTTGTTAAACTGCATCTTTATTATTTGTATTTTAGTTTGATTCTACCTAACTCCTAATGCCTTCCAGTGAAAGTAAAAATCTGCAAGGCTTGATGGACAATTTGTCTTATGTGGAATGGCGTTTCATCTGTTCATCCCTGATTAATTAATTACCAGATTAATAGTACATTTCACAGTAACCAAATTACAGTTTGTACAAATGGGTTTAGTCAAGAGAAGAAGCCAAAAATTTTAAAATGCAACAATCCAACAGACAGGCAGAATGTTATTTAAAAAGAGAAATTATAACTGGATCTAGAAGGAGCAAAATTAATCAAATTATTGAAGTGTAATGAAACAGGGCTGATAGAATGATACTGTAGATTATAGATGAGATTAGAGAATGAAGATTACCTGGGCTTCCAGGTGAGGACCTATGGCAGGTTAGATGTCCCTGTGAGCATCTCCACAAGCGGGGACAGCACCGTGGTGAAATTGGCGGCCAGGCAGCAGTTTCTGGCTGACGAAATTCTCTCCAGAGAAGGAGAGATTGGGGGATAGCCCACTTCTCTGGATAGCTGCTCCTAGCAAGGAGACCATGGGAATTTAGTTTCTTGTGGGTCGATTGTGAGTTGAGCAGCTTGGAGCCAAGGGAATAACAACATGCCCCAAATCACTGTGCAGCCCTTAAGGACACATGACCCACAAAAGCCTCACTTTCTTAAACACTGTAATGGTATGTGGGAAAGACCTTGAGAGAGAGGGCGAAGAGATGCTGCCTAGGGTCAGATAAGAGATTGCATAGCCTGCAATTGGATAGTGGGTAGAGCAAGAGGCTCAGAAGGGACCTTCCCTAGTTTCTCAGGCTGTAAAGGAGACAGTGGGATAATTGTATTGTCAGACTTGCAAGATTCTGTTAATGTAGCTTTATAATAAAATAGAATTAGCTTATCTGTTTGTGTTTCCTGTCTACCTTGTAAGGCTGACAAACACTTTAGGATATAATTAATTTACAACTTAAGAGAGATATTCTGAATGGCAGGAAAGAACAAAGACACTCGGTGGGCTGCCTTATTTTTGGAATTAAGAGGAAAAAAATACTATCTTAAAGGATTTTAATTTAAAAGCAAAAAGCTTAACAAGATTGTGATTCAAGAAAGTTTTAAATGGATAAAGGGGACAGTAATGTTAGAAAACAGAAGACTAATTTTTTTTCTGTTGAAAATACCTTTGAAAATAGTAAAATTAGACATACAGATGGACCTTTGTGGGACTGTTGATTGTTTATTACTAAGAAAAGTAGATAATTGGTGGATTTTACAAAATAAGAAGGGTAATATGAGCCAGACTGTGTGACTGTAACTAAGGACAGCTAATTGGGACTAAAGTGTTAAAGACAAAGGAAAGCAAAAGAGAGGAAAAAGAGACAGAGAGGGAGAGAGAGACAGAGAGACAGAGAAGCCTGCCTGTTATTTTCATTCTAGTAATTGACATACTTTCACTTTATCATAATGGCAACCACAAGAAAAGTAGCAAAAATACGAGAAGAAAGAAGAGGTTCACTAGAACAGCTTACAGATAAGGGCATTACACCAGATTTATTGTAGAAACTGTTTGAGGAATTTGGCAAGAAGATGATTGTAACAGTTGCCAATAGTTTGGATGCTTTTAAAAAAGAAATGGAGGAAGGATTTGCAGAGATAAAAAAGAATATGAAAGAAGAAGTTAAGAAGCCCTACAGAAGAATCTGTAGGATAATTGGCTGGAGATGTAAAACAAATTAATGACAAAATGGAAGTTTTGGAAAGTAAGGCAGAAATTGTAAATAGAGAGATGGAGAAAGATTTGGACAATTTGGCATTACTGGAACTGAGAGAAAAAGAGTTTTGTTTAAGATTTAGAGCAATTCCAGAAGACCATGAAGAAGAAAGATATCAGAGAAAAGATTAAGTCTCTGTCTAACTTTTTGGATTGGGATGAAGATGACACTGAGACAGAGATTGATAAGGTTTATAGGATCAATGCATGATTTGAAAAATTAAGAAATGTTCCAAGGGACGTCCTCGTGCATTTTGTCAGGAAGAAGACTAGAGATCAAGTTCTGCAGCAGCATTTTTATACTAGATTTAAGATTGATAATACAGATGCAATTGTATTTAAGAGTCACCTGTGATGAGATGGGTGGCTATATAAATTGGAGAAAGAGAGAGAGAGAGAGAGAGAGAGAGTCCAATTAGAATATTATGTAAGAGAAAGAGTATTTTTTTCTGACAAGCTTAAACAGAAGAAGATTCCATTTAGATGGGATAAGTTGAAAGGAGTGATTTTTACTTTTAAATAGAAAAGATTCAGACTGAACACTGTGCAGAAAGCAAGAGATTTTGGGGGGAAATTTAAAGAAAAATTGGAGAAAATGCAAATGGAAGTGACAGTGACAGATGTGACTGAACAAATGCAACAACAGATACAAGACACTGAAGATGATACCACATTGGGTGCTACAGGTATTGACGTTTCTAAAATTTTGGCATAACTATAGATTATAAATGCTTAACATGGAATATAAATGGAGCAAATACTCCTCAAAAGAGGAAAAAAATCATTATTTGAAAAAGTTAAAACAAGATGTGATTTGTTTATAAGAAATGCATATTAGGAAAAAAGATATAAAATACTTGAGTCACAAAAATTTGGATGAAGAATTTATTTCACCAGGAATGAAAAAAAGAAATGGAGTTGTTTTGTATATAAATTCTCAACTATATC